TACTGTTATCATCTTGTATTCAACAACCAGAGGGAAATGTTTCTTATGCTTTTATCGAAGCACCAAGATACATTTTAGGCGTGTTTTCTACGTTTTCTCTCTTTAATTTAGGGCTGCAACTAACGATTATTTACATTATTGATTAATTGAGAAAATATTTCAGATTAATCATTTGCTTTATAAAATGTCAGTGAAAAATGCCATTGTTATAACTTACCATAGCAGTCCAAAACCTTCATTCAGTTTACTATGATATATAATTGCAAAAAGTAACAAATCCTCACATTTGAGAAGCTGGAAACAAAATTTTTGGGGGTAGTTTTGTTTGTTTGTTTGTATTACTTTTAATTAATCCCACAACGGGGAAATTCCCTTGTCCACAGCAGCATTTACGTGAAATAAATAAATACAGATATAAAAAAAACGATGGTAAAGTGATAAAGCTATGGTATGGTAACCTTCCCTTCTTACACCGAGGGTGTAACAGTCAGCTTCACTAAAAAAAATCCTACCTTTTACTTTCACCCACTTCCTCTATGGAGTCCAGAGGACAGTCCAGGACAGAGCTCGCTCTCCTGATCAGTTTATTGAGTCTCTTCCTGTCCCTGTCCATACTACCCCCTCTCCAGCAGACCACAGCATAGAAGATGGCTGAAGCCACCACAGAGTCATAAAAAGTCTTGAAAAAAATGTAATTATCATTTGAGCTCTGCTTGAATTCCAATATTATTAAGCGAACAGGACTTCTTTGGGTATGTGTACATTTCAGAAAAGAAAAAAAGTCCTTATTTTCTGCACAATTCTCATCAACTATGAGGCTTCTCATTAAACAATGAGTTTTCTTTTCTGCTTTTTGGTTCAAATATGCAATGGGGTAGCTTGAAGCAAAACAGGAAGATTAACCCACTTTTTTTTGCCATAAGCGACCAAACAAAACCAGCAAAAGGTAAAAACAAAGAAGCTTTGTTGTAATAGTGAAATTCACTTCCAAAAACCCATTGAGGATTTCAGTTATTATTAATAAGCAGTTAGACATTCATATGTTCAGATAAAATGTGTAAACTAACAAAAGCTTTCTTTGCATACAAAAAATAATTATTATATCCTGTATCAGATAAAATCAGTCTGTGGCTGTGAGCATGGGGCAGGAAGAGGCCACAACAGAACTGTATATCCTGGACACTAATGCTCTGTGTCTCCCACCATAGGGTTTTCTTAATTACATTAACCAAATGCCTTCTGCAGTGTGTATAATCTCATGGTTAACTGAACACCCCTGTAGCTGCAGCCCCCTCCCCTTTCTATTCCTGAGTGAAATATTCATGTTGAAAGCCACTCTGCATCTACAATCTCTCTCCAGTGTGTTAATGCCTGCAGTTGATCAGCCATGCTGCTATTGTTTGATATTAGCTTTTCAATAAACTTCAACATGTAGACCATACCTCGAAAAACGTCCACTATCATCTGGGATTGAGAGAATAAAATGCTATATATTTTCATTCAAGTGAGTTAAGCACCATGGCTGAAGCTTAAAAATCTATAATATTGTTAACAGATAATGTACTCTTCTTCTTGTATATCTAGTATGTCTAATACCAATAAAGTATCTCAGTATTTTAGTTTACTATAAATATATGTTGATTTTTACATTTTTAAGTAAATTTCAGCGATGTGTCTCACTGGAAAAAAACACATTTGTATTTTTTCATGTCTACACAACACACTGATTCAAATTGACCAGGCAGGACTAATTTAAATACATTAACTATTCATTAATTGAATAAAGAGGCTAGTTAGCCCAAGGGCCCCTTTATAATCATAAACTGGGGTGTACTATTTATGCAAAACAGCAAAGTGCCATGTGCTGGCTTATTATGCTACTGATGAATGGCAAAGTACATGTTTCTCCTGCCCACGAAGGAGGATTAGGCATGGCAGTGTCAGCAAGTTGTTTCCAGGGTACAGAGTCTGCTATTCCATATTACAGCAGTATGAGATGTGTCTGTGTAATGTGATTCTTCTAGTCTTCTTCATGTAGATATGATCGCAACCCCCTCCCCATGCAAACTCTTTATGTCTTTCTCAAAACATTATGTCGCACGCATGAAGTTACAAAACCGGGTCACCTTCACACTCTCTCACTAACACATTGACTTTTCTCTTTACATCCACTGGGGCAGAAAGACAGACTAGAGATAGTGTTGCTGTCTTGGGCTTTAATATCAGGATGCACCAAACCAAATGTTTCCTCTCCTGACCTTAACTCAGGCTAGCTACTAATACCAAGTACAATCTGATATCAATGCTGTCTTTTTTCCAAATTTAAAATCTCTATACCTTGCTGCATGGAAGTCATTATCTTCATATATAAAGGTAAGATGAGGCCAAATATTGCTGTCTAACAGGACTAAAAACTGATCCTGCAGCCAACAGAGGCAGAAAGAGTAAATGGACAGCACATTGACAATGACAAAGAAACTGTATTTAATGTTAAACATCACATCCTGAATAGCAGATCCACTTTATAAGATCAATAAAGCTGATATTGATACGGCGTATCGGATCTCTGCACCCCTGATACCGACATTGCTCCTGTAGGCTCTGCAATGGCAGGAACTGGAATAAGTTAATTGGCACATGACAAAACAGGTAACTTCTTGAATTAAGAGGGTTCAAATGTCGGCTTAATAAAGGCTGAGGAAGCTTATTGTAACTATTAGTTCTATGTAACAGGGACAATATGGTAGAAAACTATATTGCGATTGTGATGAGCTTTGTGGCTGTTATTGTCACTGATTGTGTCTGTAGCCATGGCTGTGCATTGGAATGATTATTCCTTTGATCATTATTTTTTAAGGGGTGTAACACTGACTGCATGCAGGGGTTGTTTGTTTGTGTGCAGTGAGTTAACATGACTACGCTGGCTGAGCATTAATAAAGCTACTGTATTCTCTTGTGGAGTTCAACAGGAAACAGATTTGTCATATCTGATAGAACCACCAGTGGTTCTAATGATGCTTTCTTGGCTAACGTTAGTAGGAGCAGTATAAAATAGTCACAGCACAGCTACTGTAGACATATCCATAGCATTATAGATTCAACTATAAATGCAGCCATAGTCCGAGCAATAACCACATCCACAGCCACAGTTTCAACCACCACAGCCGGGCAGAGCAGCTGTGCTCACAGTTAGTGGCTGTATACTGTCATGAGCAATAAACGCATAATGTAAAGCATCACATCATTTCTCCTGCTATAGTATCTGCAGAGCGTTATGTATTGTTTGTTATATTGTTTTTATTGTTGAGTATTTGTTTTTTTCTGTTACAATGCTGTACTATTATGCACTTTTAGTAACTGTGAAGCACTTTGGAACTGCTGTTTTAAAAAAGTTTACTTTCTTAAATAAAAGGTCACTTACTTAGTAAACTGGCAGTGTTTTTAACTGAACTAGACCAACACACTAACTGTCCCTATACTGATCAGGAGGGGTGCAAAAAATATTGCAAGGGAATCCCAAACTTTTTGTTAGGTAATGCAAAACTTCAGAAAAAAGTTAGGAAAAAGAATTCGCACCATGCTTCATAAGACCCTCTCCAGTGTTATTAGGCAAATATTTTCTTTGGATCCTACCTCTGACTTACTGCAATACAGCAGTAGCCTTCCCTTCCAGTATTTCACAACAATATATGTATGGCAAACATAACAGAATAGTGACTATTCCAGCCACTCTCTGTCTATCAAAGAGTTGCTAAATAAATGTTTTCACTGCCACTAAATGAACAAACATTTTCCAGCTTTATTGGTGCTGGACTTCATCAACCATAATATTTTATTTTCACCCCCACAGCCAGACTTCAAAATAACACAAATAAATCTGAATTAGATCAGATAAAGTTGTTTCATGTTGTAGAAAAAGTTGTCTACTGTCATAAGCAAATTCTCAAGTTGTATGGCCAGACATGGTGGAGACATCATAAGTATCCAAACACATTGTTAATTACCGTTGGTAAATTACAGTGCTTGCTGATGTGCATGAGAAATAGTGGAAACTGTGTGTGCTCTCATTCTATGGTACTAATAAACCCTGCATAGCTGATGTGGCTTTTACAAGCAAGGTGATTTGAAGTTTTAAACAAACGTCCCCTGCTCTCCCAAAACTTATAGACCAACATCATCCCTCAAGTAATAAAAAAATTACATAACCCACCCACTTTTCTGACTCTCTATCTCTTGTGTCCCTCCCAATAATTTTCCTACAGTGGCTAAATATGAAGCACTACAGGTTAGAAACTTCTGTGGAACCAACTAACTAGGCCTCAAAACTCAAAAGATAAGATTTAAGAAAATATATAAGAAAACAAAAGATTTTGCATCTAGTATTCGGTATCAAACAAAATAACTCACACGCTCTTAGACTGTACAGTGATCAAACTCAGCCACTATATAGTATTCACTTAATTTAGTGAAAAAGGCGCATTATTAAACAATGACTTTTGTCTAGAGGGCCTCAAACACATAATGACTGAACACGTACACAGATATTCAGGGTCTCGTGTTGATGGTTGAGTCTGTTATATTACAAACTGTGGCAGAAACAAGTGCCTACAGGGTTGCATATTTGTAGGTGACAGGGCATAATTAAGGAATATTGGGTCTTTAACACTATTTTTGTATCCTACACATACCTGTACGCTCGACACATTCACATGCAGCCCCATTTTTTCATGACGGCTGGCTGGTGCGAGTGGGAACACGACCATGATACTGAAGCAGCTCTGCAGGTTGAAGAGCTCTAACAATTTCGTAGCACTCGTATTTTCGCTCCTCACACTGACCCATGCTGAGCTAAGTTTGAGCGTCAGCTTGCAACGTGGCGCCTGAATCCCTCTCGCGTTACAGACATCCCGCGGGCCAATGGCAGGGGTCTTATCTGTGGACGAGGCTGGGCCCTGCCTCAAACGGACGCTGTGATTGGCTGTACGTAAGGCGGCAGAAAATCCCGGTTTGGTTGCGTCCCTTCCTCAGGAAAGGGGAAAGGACTGTCTAAAACCGTTGGAGTGAAGACTGTAGGTGTTCTCAGCGGACCTGTGTGTAGCCTCAGGTGCTCTTTGTAGCTTTGGTTTTTGGCAGCTGAAACATTTGTTGCGCACCTCTGCCGAAGAGAGGAAGAAAAGGCTAGTGTGTGTCAGTACAACCGGTGAAAGTGGCTACATAATTAGCCGCTCGCTTATTGTGCATTGTAGTGTCAGGGGCCTGTTTTAGAACACAACTGTTCCGGCCCCAGAAAGAAAGAAAGAAAGAAAGCTTCACCCCCGACTGATGGACGTCTTCGGCTTCGTGTGTGCTGTGCTTCTGTGCACCTCCGTGGCGCACGGCAAGCCAACTTTAAGAAAAGAGAGAGTCCTTTATCAGGACCCAGAACTGGCCCGGCAAGCCCACGAAGACAATAAAAGCTTCCAGTACGACCATGAGGCCTTTCTGGGCAAAGAGGAGGCCAAAACATTCGACCAGCTCACCCCGGAGGAGAGCAAGGACAGGCTCGGGTAAGGACGTAATGTCGTTAGCACCCTGTAGGCCCACTCTGGTGGTCATTCTGATGTCTGTGGATGCTCTTTAGGTGCGGTACGGGACAGTGTTGGTGTTAATGTCACAGGCTGCAGTGAATAAACCCCCCACACACTCTCTCCTCTCCGTCTATTGCGTGTAACTGTTCACTGCTGGACATTAAAATTTAACACCATAAGCACAAGTGCCTGAGAAAGATGTGCATGCCAGCTAGTCTACGAGACTAACGTTAGATAAAACGGCGCATTATTATGCCACCGGCACAATTCGCACACACACCCCTACGGAGTTAATTCCTTTGCCGTAATCTCAATTATAGATCATCATTAAAGAACCATTGGTAGGCGATGAAGTTTGAGCAAAGTTCTGTGACAGTGGGCTCTTCATACGGAGCTGCTGCGTGTACACTTCAGGGGCTACGTGGTTCTGTTTGTGTGCTTCTTCATTCATTTTAATGGGTTTTTTTTTTTTTGCCACTGCTTGGATGACAAGTTGGCACCATGTAACACACGTTGGTCAAACAGGGCTTTCCCTCCTTCAAAACTCTTTCCCTGTGATGGTGAGAGTGGGAGGACCCCTCTGTAACATCACAACGTGGCAACCCAGGTCTAAGAATACACCACAGCTCCTCTCCTTTCTTACTAAAATGGGTTTGCCTGCTCCTCCTACTAGAGTAGTTCCATGGAAGCCACGTCCCTAATTGTAAAAATGGTGGAACCCAATAAAAACACACACTATTTACTAGTATTTTTTTTTTTTTTTGTGCTCTTCTCCCTGCTTGTAAGAATAGTAGCTCAGTGCATGTTGGGAGGTAAAACAGCTCAGAGACATGATTTTTTTTGGCTGTCAGTTCTCCTTGCGGCACCTATATTGGATGTTTCCCACTGTGTTTAAGCATTGAAAGTAATAACTAGCTAACAAATGCTCCCTGTCTTCTTTTGCCTTCCAGTAAGATAGTGGAGCGGATAGACAGCGACGCCGATGGCTACATCACTACAGCTGAACTCAAGGCTTGGATAAAACGGGTACAGAAGCGCTACGTGTATGAGAATGTGGCGAAGGTGTGGACAGATTATGACCTGAACAAAGACAACAAGATTTCATGGGATGAGTACAAGCAAGCCACATACGGATACTACCTCGGTACGTGCGGCTTTGGCATGCTATGTCATTTCTTTTTTTCCTTTAACGTGCATTTAATAAAGTATAACAAAGCTATGTATGGTTTTGATTGGCTCTCTTAGCCAACCCAGAGGAGTTTGAAGATGCGACAGACCAGTTCAGCTTCAAGAAGATGCTTCCTCGTGATGAGAGGAGATTTAAAAGAGCTGATCTGAACGGTGACCTGGCAGCAGACAGAGAGGAGTTCACATCCTTTCTCCACCCTGAGGAGTTTGAACACATGAAGGATATTGTGGTTCTGGTAAGCCCTCTCCGCCCACATGGTAATTAAGTATGAATAAAAAGGGGCAGGGTAGTAAGGCTAGTCTGTTGAAGTTTTTGCAGATGGTACATTAACACAGTGTTAGATATTCATATTTGCTCTAAATTTTGAGTTTTGTAAATTTGTCAGTCCACTAAGAAATATTATTCAATCACAGGAACAGATCTGAGTTTCAGTTTGTTTAATGTGATGGGCTACTTGGATAAATGTGCCACATTTGGATAACTCCTGGATGAAATTTTAACTCGGTCGGGAAATGATTGAGTTTCTATATTTTTTTGGAACAGGTCCAGTGGGATGGGGCCGACTGTCCCATTTAAGACTCAATCTTTAAATATAAATCCGGCTTCATGGAATAGTTGCGTGGCAAATGTTAGCAGTGATGCACTATGCTGCTCTGTTCATAAAAGTTGTACTACCCATTTGACAGAGTTAATTATTAATCTCTCATTTTTTATGAAGTCACCGAATGTTACCAAAGAACTGTTCAGCCGGGGGGGGGGGGGTCTTCACTGATTGTGGTGAATCTGGCTGAAGCTAATAAGAGGCCTGTTTCTCCAAATCTTTCACACGACCATGCAACGATGAGTAATGTCGGTGTCGTATGCAGAGAAATGATTCATTAACAGCTCCTCAGTGTCCCCTAGGTACACCACAGCACAGTTCTTGAATGTCCTATCCCATCATATCTTAATAAAGGCTTTAGTTTGGTGCAATTCCAGACAATATGAGCGTGGTTTAGCCTCCAGGTCACCACAGAGTCTCCAACATAGTTGTGTCCCACATAGCTTTTGATCTACGGTGTTTGGAAGAACCAGGCCTCAGTGTTTACAGAGGTCTATAGGTTTTATATTTTGAATGAACATCTCTTTTTGTTTACACACAACCTTTCACAGGTTAAGTGGGTATAGAAAATGGATAGATGGATTTTCTTGTGTATTATTAGTGAGCTATAAGACTACAGAAGCTACATGGCTATTAATCATTTAGCAGGGTTCAGAGCGGGCCTTTCACCTGTAGGAAAGGATGCATACAGTGATTTGAATCTGTGTAGCTGCGTGCATGTGCCTGGATGCATTGCAATTACTGTACTTGTGTGTGGGCGGGGGGGGGTGTTGTTAACTAATGATCAGCTCACACGGCAAGCCTTTAAGTAACCATTTAGTCAAATTCACACTCTGTCAAATCCAGGATGTGAGAGAGCAAACCATCTGCTAAGGCTTTAAATGCCAGTGTTTGACCAATTGTTTGCTAAAAACAAGTGTGTATCATCTTTTAATGTGGAGGGTTTGGCTCTTCAGCGGGGAGTCCTGTGATTGCAATGTCAGTCTGCCAGCCCAGTTGTAAGCGGACCCTCATACATTCAGTCGTCCTGCCTGAGGCGACATGTTTCTCTTTTATTACTCGGAGTGAAAGTTCCACTATTATTGACCCTTGTCCCTTCCTTTAATGGCATCATTACCTCATTCTGAATGCAGGAAACCCTGGAGGACATTGACAAGAACAGCGACGGACACGTGGATGAAGATGAGTACATCGGTAAGTTTAAGCAATGAATTGAAATAAATAAATTATTTTTAAACAAATGAACAAAAAAATGATAATAATGCATAAAATAATACAAATAATAACAGCAGCATTAAAGACCTATGAAAGATGAAATTAAGTGCAATAAAAACGTAGTAAATATCATAGATCATAGTTGTTAATGGCAAAATCCATCACATTTCTCTAATTTACCACCACTTTTAAGTAGGTGACTCATTTCTGGATGTTCTGTGTTGACCTGACAAATGTTTGTTGTTGCCCAATATCATGATCGCTATTTAAGTAGGGATCACAGAAGTATATTTGAGTCGTAAATAGTTTTTTCAAACATTAACTTGAAACTGTACATTTTTTTTCTCATGTTTGCTTATTTGTCTTTTTCACTTTCACTTTTTCAGCCGACATGTTTGCACATGAGGACGGGGGTCCAGAGCCGGAATGGGTCAAGACCGAGAGGGAACAGTTCTCTGACTTCCGAGACTTGAACAAAGATGGTAAGATGGACCAGGACGAAATCCGCCACTGGATCATGCCACAAGACTACGACCATGCTCAAGCCGAGGCCAGACATCTGGTGTATGAGTCTGACCAGGACAAGGTACAGTTCAGCTACATCAATGTGTTTAACATCTGTCTCTTGTCACTTTTTGTGCACGAGGTCTTGTCCACACTAATAATGATTCATTTTAAATTCTTTTTATATGGTTAGAATAATACTTATCTTGCAATTTCTTGTCATCCCTTCTCAGGACCAGATGCTGACCAAAGAGGAGATCCTCGAAAACTGGAACATGTTTGTGGGAAGTCAGGCCACTAACTACGGAGAAGACCTCACCAAGAACCACGATGAGCTCTGAGCCCTCAGTGCAGCTTATAACGTGTGTGTGTGTGTGTGTGTGTGAGTGAGGAGGGTTGTTGAACATCTTTGTCTTCAAAGTCAGAATCACAGACTCTTGCGCCTCCTCCCACCACCGCACCCACTGCTGCATCCTTTCCTCATAATAGCGGGACAGATGTCAGTGTGATGGATGGTAAACCAACACTGTACATACCAAACAAGAGGAGGGTTAAGGGCCGGTCCTACCACTAACACTAAGGGTCCATCTCGGGTCGGTTGGTTCTGTTTCTGACATTCAGGAGCAAAAGCCAGACCCAGTGGACCTGCTTTCCATCGATGGTGCCTTCCAGCCGCATTTGCCGGCTTCGCTGCCTCAGAGATCCGTGTAGATAGTCTTTAATAAAAACCTGTCAAAGCTGAGTGATGAGCTTTACGTGAATTGCCAGAAACAGGAACAGATTTTGATAGCTATGTTAATGTGAAACTACAGTGCAGAACATTTATTCTGATTTTATTTATTTATCGATATCTTCAGAACTCTAGGTTTGAGAGGAATACAGTGTTCAGCTAGATATGTCGGTTTAAACAAGACACAAATGATGTTTCTTTGTTTACAGTTTTCCTTGCCAAACGATTTTAATATTTCTTTCTTTGGATTAGTTAAGTGCTTTAAGAACTATTAATTAACTGACCTTTAATGGCATGGTTTTTGCACGCGTTTGGTTTGAGTGTAGCCTGTGAAAGATTATTTTTCTTCATACTTAGTTGAAAATGTATTTATTGGTGTACTTAAGGCCAACAGTATGCTCCAAGTTACATTTTTATTGATCTTTGTTGATGTTACGTTTGAGCTTTACCATTTTACAACTGTCTAATTTAATTAAAGTTGTTTTGTTTTGTTTTTGAGGAGGGTAGAAAAGTTTCCTTTCCTCACCACTCACATGACTCTTTGCTTCCTGTTACATCCCTCTGTGGTCATCTTCTGTATCAGCTGTACTGCATTTGGCATTGTATCATATATCAGCCTGATGCTTTTAAAAAACAAATTCATATTTTGTCTTTTTTGATCACATTTTTTTTATACTGTTTAATGGATACTCTATATGACCGATGCATAGAGCTATGCAACTCATCAAAAGAACAAACTATGACCAGAATCTGAGCGTCATGTGATTTTAGTATAAATGTCACTCTTTCCTCCTCTTCCTCTTTCTCTGTTGTGCTTTGTTGTCCCAAACCTCAGTTGCATTTATAGTCCACGTCACACGGGCACAAACACATCAAGATTTCTCCTTTTTCGCACTGCACATGCTCATGAAATGTGTCAATTAAAGAAAACTATTGTATATTTTGTGTGTTAAGCTGTTATTTCTTTTTTGAGTATTGTTCAAGGATAGACACAGGCATTATGGTGTCTTCTCAGATAGGCATCTTAAAGGAATAGTTCAACATTTTGGGAAATACACTACACTTGCTTTCTTGCTGAGAGTTGGAAACGATCAATACTGCCATCAGCTGGTTAGCTTAGCTTAGCACAAAGGCTGAAAATAAGGAGAAAACAGCTTGGTCCTGTTCAAAATCACAATCAGAATCGAATACTTAATTGATCCCGAGGTGGGTTTGTTTGTTACAGTTGTTCAAGGTGCTCACACAATGTTAAAGAATATAAATAATACTTATATCACAATCTAACACAATATATGGAATATAAATTGTATTTATAGGTACATACATATAAGTAAATAATAAAGCCTATGTATGTCTATGTGTAAGCTGATTGAGAGACTTCAGCTTGTATAGAACTCTGCTGAAGACATCCGGCTCCCATTTTGTTGTGCATTTGAATAGTTATTTGGTACTTGGACCTGGTTCTCTTGCTGTTTGTCCCTGAACATGTACTGTTTGTGTTCTCCGTGCGCTTAAAGTTTCACATGAGTGTATCTCAGGTAGCTCTATTGGGTTCAAATGTTCAAGTCTGTATTCAACTTTTGACTCATTGAACATCAGGAGCAAGCGGATGAGGACACTTCTTATGACTAATTAGTCACACACACACACACACACAGCAGAGATGGAGTTAAGTTGACTTGCTTTTGCTGCTGGCTCTTGCAGTAAAACTCTCAGATGTAACTGAGAAAGCAGCTCTGCCACCCAGCCTGTCCCCTCTGCTTGCTCATGTGGAACATATGGATATATGTGTGCCAGTTAGCAAGACAAGTCAAGCGGGACCAATGTGATAAAGCTCATTAGGAACAAGGAACAGGGCGATGTATGTGTGGGCTGTGTTATTCTGTTGTGATGTAGGACCTTCTTCAGACACTCTCAGACCCTGACTGCAAAGCCAAAAAGGTCGGGAAAGCTATTAGATATTCAGGTCTTGTTTGATATTTTTACATTTATATACATTTCTTTGACATTTTCCAGGTTTGAATAAGAATATATCATAAAAATCTGCGAAAAATAGGTTACCAAAGTCTGGCGTGGCTCCACTTATACAGCGTCATCCAAGAATACATATTTTTTCAGATGAATTTCTTTTATGTTCATCTGACAAAAAACTCCAAGTCTAAGGATAATTCAATGTGGAGGTGTTTCCTATAGTGACGTTTGAAGTTTTTAGTTATTTTTGGTCTTTATAATGTCCCTTAGATAATCTAATGGTTGCTCTATTGCCTTGCTAAAGAGTGTGGGGTCAGTCTTGCGTCATTCATTTGAATAATTGGGAGGCCTAAAACACTAAGTAGCTCAATGTACTTCCTCCAAATAGCATATGAGGTTTGTCATGTGTCAGAGTGCATCTGTGTGTCTGGGCCAATGTGTGAGTGGAAGTGGATGAGTGGAAGTGGTGCACAGAGATGTAAAAGAACCAAATTTGTGTTTGACTGAGCAAGATGGGGGCACATGGACTATCTGTGCAGCCTGCCTCGCGGTCATGTTTAACAGCCTGCCCCTCCTGTTTATGATAGGTTCCTAATCATTCACACTGGGGGAGTGTGTGTACAGTAATGCCTTCAGACAGCTCTCATATGAGTGTCTGCGTAGATCAACCCCTCTCCACTGATAATAATGAGCCCTCTGGGTGAGAACAGGGTGGAGACAGTGGGAGAGGAGGGTCATAAAGTGTAGAATATTAATGTCTGAGACTATAAGCCCCCCCATCTAGTATAATTTTCACTTAATCTTGTCCACCAACGATCTCCTTTTAAAGAGCTTCTTTTATAGTACACTTCCATTTCCATAACAGCAATTAAAAGCCACAAACCTAAAATGACTACTACAATTAAACTGCCTGCATAACAAACTATACAGTGCATCCAGCCGCCCCTCAACTCCCCCTGCTCCTCTCTCTGACTCTTATCATCAGGATGCCTTGTTTTTCATCTGACTATATCTGCACTCCCTCATCTTTGTCTTTTATCTCTTGTGTTTGTTTCTTCTACCCTGGGGATTTGCAGCCCAGGGTGTTGTTTGTAATGATCTTTGAGACATCTGACCCATCCTGTGCTGAGGCTTTCATAACAGGCATTCTGCCCATTATATGATAACATGCATAATAGCAAACAAAAGTACAATTTCTGTTCATTATCAAGCTTATTCGTGCTCTTTAGACAAAACATTTTATATTTACCAAGCTGACTGGGAACTTTATATGATTATTTGCCCTAACATGACAGCTCAAGGGAAAGCCTCTCCCTTGAGCTGTCATGTTGGGCTTTCCCTGTCTCTTCTCATCGGAGGTCAGATTATAGTTTAATGCTGAAACTGCAGTGAATGAGCCAAATACATACTGCAACTGCCCACAAAATAACTTTTTTCTTAATATTTAGAATAATAACATTTTTATTACTATAACTGCTATCACCGCCAGAATTAGTAGTACTTCTTAGAGTGGAAATCTTATAGGCTGATTCCGGTTAGTTCCTTATGTTATTGTCATGCACATACAAGGATTTTGCCCAAAAGGACTTATAGGACACCAAAACATTTATCAGACACTTCTTACATTATATTGTAAGCAAAGATTTGGTCTTCTGTCCCAGGCTCTACAAATACAATCTGCCACAAAAAAGGTCCCCCTCCTAAAACACAGTTTGCTTGTTTTTTAATAATCATTCATCCAGAAGAACCCATCATTAAAAAGTGTAGGCTTTCCAGTATTTTAAGGCTCAATATGTTGAAATGTGACAATTTTTATGGCAATATTGCCAAAACGTATTCATGGTTCCTCCACCAGAATTTTATTCCAGGCATTGTGGATTATGTACCATTGAGACCATCGTGTAAGAAATTAAAATTTGTGGAAAATATAATTTAACAGATGATAAATAGACAGATGATAACAATTTAAAAGAGAAAATGTATCGACCCTCTGTTGGTGCGTGGTCAAAATCTACTGCATTTGGTGAACTTGGACTTTTGACCTTTTTTATAAAATGCTGGCTACAGCTCTAATGATACGCAGACCATCTACTCTGTTCGTGCAGGTTGTGTGATTGTATGTGCGTGTCATGTGAATGTAGGCTAATTCAGCGCCTCACATGTTTCTACTTCTGGACAATGAAGCTTGAAGGGATCCATCAATCTTTCATGTCATCTCAGAGAGAGTGGTTATCCCTCATAGGTTATACCACAGGACTCTACTCCTCCTAGTGGCGATGAGAAAGAACAAGCGGCAGCCTCCTCTCTTTTTAACAACTGCACTTGTGCTCATCTATCATCATGAGTTTTTATGTGCCCATCAACGCAGTGTAGATAGGGAATCGGGCATTAATGACTACACAATTAGAGAGAAGGTTTTAAAGAGCAATACATTTCAATTTAGGAACCATAAACCTAGTGAGTTGGTAACTAATTGTAAGTGCCTCTGGAGTAATGGGGGCCCTTTGAACTGAGGTCAGGATGAGTCAAAATCAGTTTCAAACAGCTTTTACACGGCTGCATCGCTACTTTAGTTGCCCAGTCATTCTGACAAGCCGCTGCATATCTTATATGATATATGCAGAGGGAAACTTTTCAAGTTTTAATTAAAAGACTAGCAAAGCGGCCCATAGTGGAGTTGTTTTGGAGTTCATGACAGTGAGGGTGGAGACAATGCCATCCCAGTGAGACTGATATCTTTGGACAAAATGCCTCTCTCGCTCCATTTGTCAACATTTGTTTTAACATTTCCTTTCTCTAGTCCTCTCTTCCCATGTCCCAGCATCTGGATACCTTTGGGATGGAGGGTAGGAGTGGGGAGACGAGGCCCTGTTTCATCCCTCCCATCCCACTGTTCCCCAGGGGTCTCGGGGTTGGTTTTGTGATCTTGTGTCTCACATGACAGAGACACATCTAATCCTGTTAGGCATTAATATCTTACAGCGGAATAGAGAAGACAGCAGGAGGGAGAAAAGAGGAGAAGATGAAAGACAGGATGGCTGAGGAGCGGGGGGAATATTTAAAAAGATCTAGCAGTCTCTATTTCCTAGCCCACATATTGGTTTTGAGTACATACGTGTGTGTGTTTGTTTGTGTTCCTGTGCCTGTGTTCCCTCGTGGGATCTCCCCGGCTGCTGCCTGCATATCTGACAGACTCCTCTCAAGGTGTTTTCCCCTTGCTGTCTTTCTGTATCTGCTCCCTGAGTGAGAAAGTTTACCCTCTAGGCCCCATCTGAGCTCCAGGCCCCCCAAGGCCTCTGCATTCCCAAAGCTCCTACACACCGGAGCCCCTCAGGCTCCCTGCTATACCACAGGGAATACCCCCAAGAACCCCCAGGCCCCTCAGACTGTGGAGCAGAAGCTCTGAACAAGAGAGCTAGCCCGAGGGGAGGGGGGATGCTGTCTGGGAATACAACTAAGAACATGCTTCACTTAACATTTGAACAGTCCCTGACAGCGCCTCCTGTTGGTGCAGCATTGTGTTTGCATGCAGGCCTCCTTGTAGCCCCGTTAAGTTTCCTCTCTAGGGCCTTGACCTTGTTAACAATCCCTTAGGGGCTCATAGAGGCCTCTGTGTGCTACATGTGCATTGACCTTTCCTGCTCCCGGAGGTTAAATAATGTCTTTTTGGCCCACAGCAGGAGCTTTGTAGGGATGTTGGATGCACCTGGGACTTTACAGAATTACATATTGAAATATAATATGACTCCTTATCAGACCAAGTAAACGAAATACTCCTTATTCAATAGAGCTCTAAAGCATGAAGAAAGTAAATGTTGGAACTTTCATATAGCCTATAGGATGAACTGTGCTTGTTTATTGTCTTTCATTGTGTCAGTGAGGTTATATCACACTTACACTCAAAAAGAAACCTTTTTAGGGGGGTTGCACGTGGATTTGGAGGCTGTGAAGCTAGCAGGCCTGCTGTCCTACAGATGTCTTGGGCTGTGCGTTACCAGGTGTACGTCACCTGAGATTACCCACGCTGACACCCCTTAAAGGCAAACAGCCAACAGTACAGCTGAGGGGGCATCTGGTGGCGTGTGTGCATGTGAGAGTGTGTGCGTGGATATGTGTGTTCATGCATTCAGATTGGCGGTAACATTTGGCAGAACAGGACTGAGTGCAGACATCAGATATTATACTTTCTCCAATCGGAAACTTTCTCAATCAATTAAAGGAAAGTAGATCAGGTAGATCAATGTAAGGCCGCAGCCAGTGTCTCTTTAAGTGTGTGTGATAATGAAGGCAGGGCGTTTAAAGGATGAGTTCCTCATGCTCTACGCAGCCTTGGTAGTCTCCAGTTAGGAATGAACTGGAGTGAGTAAAATGTTCCACTCCGCTGTCCCTCTGATCTTCCTCCACTTCCCGGCGCCCCTGCAGAGAGAGAACAAAGAGAAGCTCTTCTTAATCAAAGTGCATTGGATTAAGAAGCAGAAAAAAACAGAACATCACAGAGATACCACCTCGCAGCCATTAAGTGAATTGGAAAACAACCTGAATCACCACTTCAAATGAGTAGTCTGTGACCCTGAAATAGGAGAACGGCATCTTAATCTTTCTGTTGCTTTGGCAAGTGTCGAGATCTGCCGTGGAAACAAGCAGTGCAGGAGCAGATGTGTGTGTGTACTGCATGTGTGTTTCTGTATGAGTGAATGCCTTCAGTAAATGTGAGCTGTGGTTTCCATGTGTGAACATGTAGCCAACAGCTAAATATACCATCCTTGTTTTGTGCGTGTTTACATTGCTTTTCCAGGTATGTGACATCATTAGCCCACAGAGCCATGCAACAGCTTTCTTCCCACACTGAGTCATATTTTATTAATACACCCGCTGCAGCTGAATCATCTCTTATAGACTTGCACACAAGCTGACACACAACTACCATCCACATCATGTATATTTGATGGGCCGGGTCACACTCTGTACGTGCCTTCCTGTTTCTTATTTTTGTAGATTTTAACATATTTATTGTGGCTGCTCAGTACCACTAAGGGCAAGACTGAAGTGGAGATGGACTATATGAAGACTGAACAGTATGAGGAGTATTATGTGTTTAGTCACACTCCACCACTAGAGTCCCAACTGCTGGTCTGGAAAGGCTGATACTGCCATCATGTGGCTCGCGGATGTAAAATGCCATTCTAAACTGGAGGTTATTATTTACAATGGGGATTTGAGTGTGTGTGCTTTTGTGTGTGCATTATGGGGCCCAGCCAATGCAGAAGGGGGCAGTAAGTGAAGTACAGCCAGCTGACAGTGAGGTATGTGTCTTTTCTAATGAGATTTACCGGGTTCCAGATGTTCCTAGTTATGAAGATGTGTGTTGGAGATTTAGGAGGGTGAGACCTGCACCCTGTCAGAGTCACAGTGGGGTGCTGTTTTACTGTCTGTCACCCCCTCCCCATCATCCCCCCCACCACCATCACCACTCATAGGTGGCCTCTTAACCTACACCAACACCTCTTCTTTCTCCCACTCTCTCTCTCTCTCTCTCTCTCTCTCTCACACACACACACACACACACACACTCTATCTCTATCATCTCTAATATGTGTGATCGACTTTAAAACTAAAACAAATAACAAAAATAATAATCTTATATAAACATAATACTCATATAGTCTATTGTGATAATCATGTATACTGTTGGAATATTAAGATTCTCTGTGTTCAACTTAATGGACAAAAAAAAGACACATTGTCCATTTCCTAAATCCAGTTTATATTTTCCAGCACATTTTTAAGGTGACACAATTTTAACAATTCTAAAAAAAAAGCCAGTGCAAGAGTACTAAAATATCCAAAATAGTGTATCAACATTTTCCTCATCTCACATAAAAAAAAAAATCTTCTTCTTGGCTCAGAATTACTGTGGTATTGTACCCACTCAGTCTGAGTTTTAATGTCACATAACCAGAACGAGTGCTAGTTGAGGCGCATCTTGAGGATCTTCATCCGAGTCTCCTGACGTCCGCTGGCTGAGGGAGGCATCATCTGGGCTCACCACTTCAGTGATGTCTGGCAAGGCACCATAACCGCTGACCAGGCTCCAGCATCTCTCTCTACTAGCTGGCACAACATATTGTCACCTTCCTCTTCGTCCCCCTTCCTCCTCCTCTCGCCGCTCAGATGGCAGGCTGCAGCTTGGTCAGGTTCCTCTGGTGCATGCTGTGGTGGCGCATCAGCTCGTCAGAGCGGGCAAACTTCTTCTGACAGTTGGACCAGCGGCAGGTAAAGGGCTTCTCACCTGACAAGGTGGGGACAAACAAGGAAAAAAAGAAAAGAAAGAGGGAGCATTGCTTTAGAGTGAATTCAACTCTTGGAATGCGAGCTTGTGTTTTGTTGTACATGAATTAAAGCCAGGGGTACCATCTTAACAGAAAAATCTCATTGGGAGAAGAATGGAAAGGTAGAAAATAAAGGTATACGCACTTGTTTTACCTGTATGAGTCCGAGTGTGCGTCTTAAGATGATCTGACCGTGAAAACTTTCTCTGACACGTCTCGCACTCAAAGGGCTTCACTCCTACACAGAGATACAAACAGTTGTTGTGGTGGCAGAGACAGAAATGAGAAGAATTTCATATGTTTTGGATACAGCAAGCATTATACATTCCAACTGTTCAGGGAGGTTTTATAGTTTCAACACACAAGAGAAAATTCAGTTTTTCACAGTTCACAGATAATAATTAATTGGCCCTTTTCTGTAATGAACCACTGGAAGAAAACATCTGTAATTTCAATTCATTGAATCAAACATGGTTTGTTTTCTGTGTTGGGTCATATATTTGAACAAATAAGAGCTGCAGTAGACTCTTTGTTTTAAAGCATAGATTCAAAAGCAACATATAGTTAATATTCATTTGCTGTTAGGCCTGTGTCAGAGAGGTAATATTGAAGCGGAAGTTTGTCGTATTCTTGTGCTGGATTAAATGATATTGTACAATTTCTGATGTTTTGTAACAATGATGACACATATTTTTTCATAGAAAGAAAAAAGAAAAGTGACAGAGGGAACTAAAGCCGTAGCCAGGATATTAGAAATAATGATTTCTCCAACAACCTACCCCCAACTTCAAAAATTACAAATAAAATCCGTAAAATGTTTCAGTTGTTATTCATCTGTCTTCTGTCTGTCTTCACATTGCAAGAATACAATTCTGGTGGGAAAATACTAAAGTATTTATTTATTTATGCATTGGCCTAGTCTAAAATGCTTGAACCTGCTTATAAAATAACCACCTTGTGTTTTAAAGCTTTTCCCCACAGGTTTCTAAAACTCAAATTCCCAGAAGAAAAATACTGAGATATTGATTTCAGTGTCCTCAATGGTGGCTACGGCTCTGGAGGAAACTCATACTTCACCAGTGTACCTGTGTGTCTGCGCTGGTGCCTCTTTAACTGGTCTGAGCGAGAGAATCTGCGTCCACAGTCTGTGAAATCACACTGGTAAGGCTTTTCTCCTGCAAAACAAAGCAACCATATCATTACCATGATCACCCAAATGCCAAGTTCCATATCTGCTAAATCACCATGTCAAAGTTAGGTGCATTTTATCTTATACCATCCTTTATGTGATTAAATTTTATTCATCTGAGGAAAGCTGATGCACAAGCTTTATCAACCTAATACACGCACATTCAGACCTAACCCTAACCCTAAAAACACCGCCTCTATTTTAGCTTTTTTTAGCAAGTTGAACTTTAACCGTCCGTAGGAATTTCTCATTGTGATTTATAAAAAGCAGCAGTTTGAGGTCTGGCCAGGAAAAAGGGGTATAAGTCACATCATCTCACCTGTGTGTTTGCGGCCGTGCATCTGCAGATGTGACAGTTTGAAGTATCTCTTGCTGCAGCCAGGATAAGCACATACAAATGGACGCTTTTCATTGGCCTCTGATGACCTTACGACTGGTGGAGCAATACCAGCTACCCGTCGGACATCCTTTAAGAGAGAGAAAGAGGAAGGAGAAGACAGAGGGCTTTATAATAGAGAAGTTTATTTTGTGTATTTATTTACTTGTATGTATGTGTGTGTATGTTTTATGCTTTCATGTGTTAACTCTGTCTGACCTGAAGTCCTCTGAAGACACCGTGTGTGTGTATGTGGTACTGGGCACTGACGAGCATGGGTGGAGGTGGGGCTGTGGGATCACTGTCATAGCCGGTTGCATGGCCGCTGCCGCAGGAGCAAAGTTAAACATGATTTAAAACAGTGAAAATTTTGAGGGCAAAACAAATATTTTGATAGATTTGTCAGGTAGACAGGTAGGTAGAAAATGTATGTCCCAGATTGTGTTTATAAAGCTAGTTCAAAAAGAGTTCAAACCTCCCAAGCACACACATTTCTTAACCATCACCACTACAGAGCTATCCTTAACATGATTTAACTCTTCCCTGAAGAACTGAGATCCAGTACCCACTTTGCAAAACCTCCAATTCGTTTCTAAAACACACAATACAATAAGTACAAGGCGGCACACAAACAAACACATATACACACATATGAATATGCTCCTCTCCACTTCCTAATCTCCCTCGGCAGTTGGCCAACAGCCATCTGGTCAAATCCTCCTCTTCCTCCTCCTCTGCACTGCCACAAATACTAGTCAAGAGTGAAGAATACAGCGTGTTATTTAAAAAAACAGAAATTACAAAAAAAACCTCACCTCTTCATTGAGGATGCCAGGGAGTTCATTTGGTTCCATGTTACACAATCCAGCTGAGATGCCATTTGGTACAGGTTATCACTGAGTGAAACATACAGCACGGTCATTATTATTTATGTTTGTGGTAAAAAAAATTAGGAAAACAAAAGAAAAAAGAATTGTATTTTTATTATTTATTTGGTTTGTTAAATTTCAAGGTAATAAAATATGTAATTACATTACTAAATCAAAAGTTAAGGAACAAGGTTAGCTCTGAGGTTATAACAGAAGAAGGGGAAAATACTCTACATGTCTTGGTTTTATTTTTCTTTCTTTATTAATTGGCTACTGCAATTAAAAAACACAGACACTATTGATGTTACTGTGCAGCTTTCCTGTCAGTTCTCTTCCCTTGTATGGATATTGAAGACGTTTCGTTCAGGGGAAACTCCAACTTGCTTGCTTATTAACACATCCTGTCCACCCACCACACTCCTCACTGGCTTCATTAAAAAACATGGGCTTGGAGCCATTCTTTACCTTGGCAGATCACACTAGTGCACACACACATATTTGACAAAAACGCACACACACTTGGAGATGTGATTGTGCACTCTGCGGGGGTGAGTGCCTCCGTGCCTAGTACACCATGAACCAGTGCATGACATCACCCTGTCCTCAGTATCATTAAAAGGCGGGAACCAGTTTCAGGGGAATTCTGGACGGCATTCCTTGAGAAGTCCTTGAGGGAAGGATCGTGATGGCTCACTAATCAGCTCTGAACTATGTTAAACTGTGGAAAGACTCACTGATATCTGACATATGTTCACTGTGTGTATGTGAGAGTGTGTGCGTGTGCATGTCTCTCTGTTTGTTTGAGGGTTTCCAGTTCATGCCATAAGCTGTAACAACAGCAAAGTCTTCCCTTCTCTTATCAACTGCTGTTCCAGTATTTGGGTAGCACATGTTCCTTTTCTCCAACAAAATCGCAGGGCGGCATTCAAAGAATTTCATCCTAATTTACCCTCTGAGATGTTTTGCATCAAAATGAAAACAAGTTGGGAACATATTCAGAGGTTAGAATAAGCAGATCCCAAGCCTTAACTACCCCACCCCCCACTCAACTTTCACTTTCACTGAACTTGTCTCTTTTACTTTTCTCCTCATTTTTCCTCAGGGTGGACACAACAGCAGTAGATCACTCACTGTTTGTTTTGGCCTGCTGAGCACCAGTGGGCAGCACTTAACCTCAGAACAAATTAGGATTCGCAATCCAGACGGTGCAGAGGCAGACACATGGCTTAATATAGGATCAGAGAGAGTTCACACTTTTAAAAATTACCAGCAAGTGAGCGAGCTGCATGTGGTGTTAGTGGAAAGAATCTGCCATTAATTGATGAGCGAGGAGGCTGAAAACCTTTGGGAAGAGTGGAGTGGAGTCTCAAAGGGGATTCAAGGTAGCAGGAGTCAAATAATGCAACAATATGAGCACGCAGGGACAAATAGTTGTACCTGTTGTAGTTTCTCAGCAGCAGAGCTTGGCTGCTCGGACAGGATTCTGCAGGATTGTGGCAACCAAACATGGAAGTAGGAGCCGGGTACTGCTGGTCAACTGAATATACAAAAAATACAGTTGCTTCAAAATAGGGTTGCAACTAACAATTATGTACATTATTGATTAATCTACCAATTACTCTCTACATTAGAGATTCATTGTTTGGTCTATTAAAATGTCATATACAGATTGCTTATTTTGTTCAAATCTACACTCCAAAACAAAAAGATAATTTAATCATATTAAGAAACCACATTCGTATTTTCTTGGGCATTCTTATTGACTTTAATAAATTACTAAAACGTTTACTTGATGATAAAAATTGTTCAAAGAATGGTCGTCAAAGTATAGCTTTCCATTGCCCTTCAGAAGCTTAGTATTATTAAGCTAAAAATATTCCTAGGAATGATCTTGCATAAAAATGTTTATATTTCATGTTCTTTTCATCAGAACAGACAGAAAACACATTCAAGTATACATTGTTAATTTCAAAGACATAGGCACACTTTTGTACATGCATGTGTGCTCAGACACACAGCTCTTCTTCTCAAAGAGAGAACGGGTCAATTAGAAACAGTGGTCCTTTTCAGGTTCATATAGTATATTGGTCCCCAGACAGTTTTTGACATTCCAGCAGAGTCCTATAAAGCTGCTTCCTCAAGTTATCATTTCCAAAGTCATTAACCATACGTATGCTTAAAGAGCGAGAGGGAGAGTGTGTTTATGAATGCCTGCGTATATGAATGTGTGTGCAGACAGAGACGGGGGGAGATGAAGGAAAAAGGATAATAGCGATTCTGTTGTGATATGAAAAATGACGGGTTACTTATATAACCTTGCTGTGACATGACAGTCTTCCAGTCTGCGAGTCAATTTAGTGAAAACATTTCAGGATGAAGATAGCTACCTATGTTGTTTGGCGGTGACAGCGTGTCCTCGTGTTTGAAGGACAGGCTGGGGAGCTGAGGGGTGTGGTGAGACGGAGTGTGACCATAACTGGGGTTGCTGTCCAAGCCCATTGCTCCATAACCTGAAAAGAGAAAACAAAAAGATAAACAAAAAAAAGTTAAAATTATCTTATTTGCCTGGTTGAGTTATTGTATTAACATCACGCAAAAGGACTGTAACATTTTGAAGCTTTGCAAAGTCTCCAGTATCTGGTCAGTTATCTAAAGCTCCGTGGTAGTAGCTTTTAGTCCCTGGCAGGGTTACCACAGAGAGACATTCATTAAACTACTAAATCCTCTTTCCTTGTAACAAATTCTTTTTCCCCCCATCTGTCTTTGGCCTTGTGGTTGCAATATTTATAGCAGGTGGAAAAAGAAATTTGGCAAACACACCAGAGACGATCTGAGATGAGCTACTGTTGAATATGCTCTGTAAAAAAAACAAGGTTGCAAAGTAATGAATTGCATGTATGCTAACTTAATTAGTTTTAATATGGTAAAAAATGGTAACAGTACGCATTGTTGCGTCTATTATTGCAGTTATCTGAGTGTAATATATAAAGATAGAAAGTTAAAGAATATTACATTTCATAAAGCTATGTGAAAAACATTATACAAGCACATTCAAACTGTGTGCAGTGTTTATTTTACATACACATACAACGCAGACAGGCGTCCTGAGTCAGGCCGGAGAGGGATGTTGAAAAGTTTCTAAGAAAAATGACTCACATGGCTTTCTTACTTAAATCCCTGCAGCCTGCAGAGGACTATGCTGTGTGTTTTATTACTTCATCAAAAACTGGTTTCCACTGAGCAAACAAGACTCACTGAAAACTGTCTCTGAAAGTAACATCAGCAGACACTTACAGCTGTAAACCTCTGACCTCTGAGTAATGAGCCCCAACAGACAACAGATACCAGCATTGCTTACAGTGAAGGCCAAGACATCAAATCAATGTTAGCACTTCATAGGAAACAGAAATTAAGTTTGATTCCAGATTAATATTCCAGATAAATAACAGTTTAACTCATTGTTATCTGTTTAGTGCAGGTCTTCTTAATCCCAGAAGTATTGTTCAGAGAAATAAATCAAGCCTGTGATTAAGTTTTTGTTTTGGGAATTCTTCTAGAGAAACACTTCTTAATGAAGATCTTAACCCAGTAAGTTTTTTTTTCTTGACGTTTTCTGCTGTTTTACTGCTCAGTGCAGTAATTGTGATCAATTGACTCATTTTAAAGAACACCCACAGTAAGGGTAAAGTTTTTCATAAATATCTATGTAATAGAAAATAACTCTATTTGCCAATACATGCCAATAAAATCAAAACTTTAAAATGCATAACTTCAAGGTAATTTATTCACATTCACCGTGGCAGCTGAAAATGCCATTATATACAGTGGCATGTACATTTAAAAAGAACTAGAGTAGATTATAACAGTTTGTGACTGTGCCATATTTAGTTTGGGTTAATAACCCAACAGTAATATAAAAAATACCACTAACACTGCGTCAAAACAACCACTTGTTTTGGGTGGTTTTCTACTCAGGAGTACTGGATACAGTACATTAAGTCAACCCAGCTTCATGTTGGTGCTACATTGACCTAAACTGAGTAAATTTTGAAACCACTGATTTTAAGTGCACGATATAATACTTGAAACATGAATCCTGCATAAGTATCTAAACTTTAGATGGATACATTAGTAGGTTTACGAACATTGGCATTGCAAAAATGTATGCAATAATAAGACGTGGTGAAACCTTATGAATGATCTTTGTAATGATCTGTTCTGAATTATGAATTTAACAGAATAAAACATTATCTATTGAGACTATATCCTGTAAACAATAGTGCAAATAACTTGTTATAGATCCCTGCCAAATCATTACCAGGAAGCTGTCAAGCCTATTCCTGACATAGGACAGAATGACCCAGTACAGCACATAACATCCTGCTTAGACACAACACAATGGACAACCCCTAAACATGGAGTTACATCATGAACACGTACAGCAGGAAATCTAGAAAAACACTGGCTTGTCATAACACCTGGATTTTATAGTGAAAACAACTGCTCCTCATGTTTCACGGCTCCTACATAACATTAGAGAGAAGAGAAAGGTGGGGTGAACTGAGGTGGAACAGGTTACGAGTATGCTTACCCTGGTTCCTGGGTGCAGGAGGACTGTCCATACAGCTGGGCAGGTAGGTTCCATTGGGAAACATCCTCGGTTGACCTGCAGTCGGCTCTCTGAAGGCCCCAACTCGACAAGGGCCTGAGCCTGTAAACTGGCCTGAGAAGTGAACTGTGAAGGCCCCAAGTCCACAGTGAGGGTCCTCTATTGGGTCAGTGTTCCCCCAACCAGGTTCCTGCTTGATCAGGGAGTGGTGGGAAGGCAGGGAGCCATAGGGAGAGCCAGGGTGAAGGTCCAGCAGTTGGGTCCACTGGCCACCACCAGCTCCTGGCAAGGATGACACAGGAGGTGCTGGAGGTAAGAGGGTCAGATCTCGAACATCTGACCCCATCGACATGGCGCCACACGGTTCAGTCAGCATTGGTGAAGCGGTTTGAGACAGACCAAAGATCGAGTGGTGATATTCCAGTAGAGAGGCACAGCTGGGAGATTAAAAAGTCACACAGTAATAATCTCCTGAAAGTATAACAAAAATACTACTTGAAGAAACAAAATAAGCATGGAGCGAACTCTTCTGCAGAAACAAACATCAGTGGTCACAATAGAGGAGCCATCTTTCCTGCCACAAGTGATGAACTGAATAACGCAAATAAATGAATTAGTGATGGTGGCCAAACTCTGGATGCCAAAACTCAAGCTCCCTAGGTATCTGTGGTTGGTTTGGAGGAGTCAGTGAGGGTGCAGTGCCTTGTCCCTCTGCCTCTATAATGTCTGACTTTCCTCCTGAAGGCTCTAATACTGCGTAACTCATTGGACAGGGGGAGGAGCGAAGGAGACTGAGAAGAAGATGACTCCCTTGCCTTGCCCCAGCCAGCACAGACTGCACTTCTGAGTAGATCATGACTAACATCACATTTACATGAGCGGGTGTTGCTCTTCATTCTTTGTTCAAGTTCAAGTGTGGCTCATTCTGGATGTTTGTGTTAGCGTGTATAAATAAGTGTGTGCAAGAAGGAGAGATGTTTTTGTTTAATTTCTCTGAAAATAAATGAATGGGCTGATGGATGGAAACAGCGTATTAGTAAAATTTGAACATATTCAAAGCTTATTAAGATTTAAAATAGAAAACAAAACTAAAAAAAACATTTGTTATGTCTACACTATTGACCTACGCCATCTACTTCATCATCATTTCTTACTCTTCTGACTCATTTTTTCTGAAACCTACACCACTTTCAAAATAAGTAAGTTGAGTGAGGCAATAATATAAGCAATGAGTTCAATCATAACATATCAAAACATTTTATCTTTGGTAAGGTTTATTACAATCATGGTATATGTGTTTACATATCCAAAGTTAGTCATCTTTTTTTATTCAATATATAATATATATCTCAATGACATGTTTAAAAAAAATGAATCTTTTTTAATGGAAAGACTGTGCTGGACAATTAATAAATATACAGATGAATAATTTATTACTCAAAATGTAAAAATGGTAAAACATGCAGAAAATGTGCTATTCCACTAAAAGTAACTCGCATAAACTGAATGGCCTTGGAGCAAAGCCACATCACACAAAAGGATAATTATTTATTAGTCGAGAAAAGGGGGAGTTTGTGTGTGTGTGTGTGTGTGTGTGTGTGAGAGAGAGAGAGAGAGAGAGAACGCTTAAGAGATAGAGGTTTTGACCTCAACTCGAGCTTAACTCAATGTGGAACTACAGAGGAATGCAGTAACTTGGAATATGCCTATAAATTCAAGACAGCTGCTGTGGATCTTTTAACATTATTATATTTGTCAGATCAAAATTCAGGTTCCTCTTTTCCCTAAAAGCTTAAAACAGTGACAATGTGTTTTAAAAAAATATACTGTGCTACATCCAGCGTAGCAGAACAGTGAGTTACAGTTGACTTGTGATGAGACCACTATAGGTTAGAATTACTGTAAAAGCAAGTATAATAAGATTTAAAAAATGATGATATACTGTATTACCATGGATTATGAACCCCATTTGTGACAGAAGCAAGAACAACAAGAGCAAAAGCAAAAGCAAGTCAATTGTCTGTCACACAATTCAAATGACTTTCTTTACCCCTGAACTATAGGCCCACTTACCAGTGACATCGTGGTTAATAATGATTCATCCACCAGTGAATTAGTTTCACAAAAGGATTTCCTTAGTTTTATGATATCTCATTTCAAAATGGAATTAAAAATCCACTGCAAATTTGAGCTAGAAGACGTTAAGTGAAACCTGTTAGCCAGTTCTTGTCATCGCCATCTGGAATATAAGTCTAGGATTCCAGTGAACGCTAATGACCCCTAATTCAACTTAAAGAGAAGTGGTGGGTGGGGGGAGGGAGGAGGTACATTAGAAATGGGCAAAAAGAAGAGTGTGTGTGTGAGAGTGAAGTCTTAAGTCACTGTAAGAGTGATGAAATCAGCTGGTAAGATGCTGAGGCAGCGTTAACAGAGGTTACATGTCATTGTTGCACAATATCACTGATGTATCTTCCAGTGCCCTCTTGATTCCATTTTCTGTTTTGAGTTCAGCTGAAGGAATGCTGCATACCTACAGATGCTGCAGTGTTTATTGTATTGATTACAGCGTCTGACTGGATGGTGATGCTGGTACAAAACCAGTAGTCTTGACCACCTTGAACTCTGTGGGAGATTATTTTAGGTATTCTGGTGTTTGTGAACTAGTTTGTACGGCTGTGAATGAATCAGATTGATGGTTTTTAGAAAATTATTGGACCCCCTCCCAATAAAACACTGTCTATGCCCCTAAATGCAAAACACAGATACATCTGGGTGGTTTGTGGTCACGGTTAAGATAAAGTGGTCTCTGACTCACTTTATTCTTGGAAAATAAACGAGTGCAGAGGTAGACCCGTACCCTTGAACACCCAGACATTCAGAGGATGTCCACGTAGCTGCCTTCAAAATAGTAGCAAAGAAAATTAATTTCTCTCACAACAATTGGAAAAACCTTCTGTGGTACACCCACTACAAACAAACACAAACTAAAATAATGTACTGCATGTACAAAAGGTTGTAGGACATTTAAAAGTATCTCGCCAAAAATCTGAGAGAAAGAAAGAAAATGCAGTGCCTCTGGGCCAAGGCAAATGCTGTCCGTGCCTTCCCCAGTGGAGTCTTTAGTGGGGATTCATCAAAGGTGACGGGGCCAGGAGAAAACAACCCTTTCAGCCCCTATGACGGATGGCAGTCCCCAAATACACCCATTCTTTCAGATCAATCTCTGGTTAACTCAGGGTTTAAAACAACATAAGTGTGCAGAGAAAGGGAAATGGTCAATACTGCCTCTGACCCTGAACAAGAAATACACAACGTTCAAACTTTCTACAGCAAGATGAGTAGGAGGGAATTTGAGAAGGGTTTGTTTCATCCAGGGAGACGTGTGATAAACTACACAGATATGTGACCTGGCAGGGAACATGACAAAAGAAATGACTTTTTCCATTTTTATAAACATCTGTATTCATGCTACTGCATCTCAAGATAGTTTATGAAGCTGCTTCTTTCTAAACCGAGAGCACTGGTGATATAAAATTACATATAATTTATATTACTTAAAAAGAAATTTTAGCAATCAGCATTAAAATTGCATGTGATGCGATCATCAAAACAGCCTGCGGGAGAGGACTGCCAAAGATCAACAGGTGTTATTTTGATGTGCTGACAGTGGCATGAAAAAGCCATAGTCCTTCACTTCTCTGTGTGGGCATGGAAACAAACTGATAACAGACATAACAACAGTGTGTTGAAACGTTTCATCATTTCCCTACTATCTGCCTGTGGTCTCTAGAAAATGGTTACTATTTAAAACAAAAATGAGGCCGAACAATATTCCTCTGTGTTCCTTTCTCAGAGCACTATTTGGAAGTTTGTAACAGCCAGGTCTCTGCTCTTTGAGATAAAATCTGAATGCACTGATTGCCTTATTTAAGGATACATTTTGGTAACATTTATGTTATATCTACAATGAATTTCTCTTGAAGGCAATGTCAATGTCAATGCACAGCATGAACATTGTTCATCTTTCCTGTGACCAATGTGAAAAACAACAATTGTCAGTTTTTAATTCTCATCTTCAAAGTGTTGCATATCAGACTGGAGATAAAAAACAAAGAAGAAAGATCTGTGGGAGAGTGGGCATTTCCATGGTTCATGTGTCAGACACAACACTGCTCCAGTGATCTTTCACACACCCGTTCTCTTCTTTTTGTTGATGATCACCTTTGCCCCCTATCACCAAACCCAAGACCCCACCTCCTCCCCCTCTCGTATTCATATCCATTCATACAAAGCTGGATGTTCCTGGATCAAATGCAAGAGGAAATACTTTAAACTAAGGAATGTAAATACTCGGATCAAACTGAAGATCAGCATACTGACAGCCATTAAAAGAAAAAGCTGAGGATATTCTAAATATTTGATATTGTCAACAACTCCCACGAAAAGACCAAAACCATCATCAACCATGTTAGTCTGTCTCAGTACCTTCCAAATTTCCAAGCTTATATGTGGCACTCAACCGCAAGCAAATAGTTTTTTCTGAGGATGTAAACTTAAATGAGCCATAAATACATACTAACATTTTTAAAAAAGCCAAACAATTTGTTTAAACAGCTGGGCACTGTTTTTAGCACACGCTACTAACAGAAGTAAACGGTTTGTTTGTCTGGGACTATTTTCAGCTGCGGATTAAGACACATCCAGTGCACCGGCAAGTATTTACAAGTTTATGTGCGACTGTCTCAAAATAAAGTATAGTGCCCACGTTTATTGTGATACATGTAATGGACAACAATGGAGCTTTGTGGCACAGATGAATAAGCTGTTTCAGGTGAGTATCTTATAATTTGGACATTTTGTATTTTGTGTTTGCACCATTACTTTTGTCAGCTATTGTTAGAGCAACTAAAAATGTGTCCATTAGTGTTACTTACTTAAAAATAAAGGCACTATTGACCTTTTCCACACATTGTCATCATCAAACTAAACAGCTGGAATAAAAGTACTCTGTGGAATGACTGAATGTCATAGTGAAAAACAGAAGTTTTGAATTTAAAAGGAACTTCTATTAAAAGTGTTGAATTTTGCTGAACAGCCTATGTCTCATCCCAGCAGGTGTCAGTTTGTCAGCATCAAGGCCAACCTTTATCAGTTCTTTACAGTAAACCGCAACCATCCATGCTGTCACACCCTAGCAGCTGTGGACCGGGCCTAAGTAGTCATCAGAAAACATTTCAGATATCTCTGGTGGTTACTGTCTGTTGTCATACCCTTGTGCCTCATTCTGACGTTAGATTAGCAAAAGTTTTACGGGATGACTCTGAGATATGTGCACAATGATGGGAAAATAGAGAAATTACCACAGTCATGTTACTATAACCTCTGACACTTCACTTTAGGGAAATACCGATTTACTGCAACATTCCGTGGGAAATAAAATATCTGTTGCACTGAAATGCTATAGGTTGCTGAAAACAATGCGCTTGAGTTGCAAAGTAGTTTTCGTGCTATACGTCTGTAGGTAAATTAAATAAGAAAAATAATTCCTTTCAAACACATTTTGCTTTTGTGAGAAATACATACATGCGTCTGAGCAATTCAATTAATTATAGAGAAAGTTTTGAAGATTGTCTGTTTTCCGTCTTCAGCATCATATTTATCAGCACTGATGAAACGGTATCTCAATGGCAAAGGGTCACACAGTTTAACATGCCTCTAATTAGTGTTTCTGAGATCTGGCATGTATAGCTTCAAGCCAAATATTGTGCAATGTATCCCCAATTGAAACAAATTTGACTTTTTGTTTGACTGTGCCTTTTTAACTCGTATTGCTCCTCCTAGCCTGTGAGTGTGTTTAATATAAACACACTCTGATGACAAGAGAACACTCAATCTATCCAGACAGGAACGTCAGAATTCCTGGAAGACCGTGACTTTTTTTTTTGTTGTTGCTGCCATTAGGTTGAAACAGAGCACACGCATTCCACATAGGGGGATTAACGACCTCAGATAGCTCAACACCACAAATGCAAACTCACTTTGATTGATTACTGCAGTCTTTGGTGTGATATGAAGCTGGTCATTAAGTGATATGGCAAGATAACAGTGGTATTTCACGCACCGACCTTCTTTTCCTGGTCATGCATGAGTTTGGCTGCAGATGGCTCGTACAGTGCAGCCAAGTCAACCACATCTAAGAGGCAGATAAAAAAAGGAATAAAATTCTAATTGAATGAAGAAAAGAAATTAATTTCACTAAGTCGGAGGTGTGCAGCTGTGCTGTGTGATTGATCATCTAGTGGTAGAGGAGATAAGTGATCACAGGGACTGAACAGCTATCACAGTAGACCACAGGCCTTTAGTCAGACAAGTTATGTGCATGCTCACACACATGCACACGACTACAGCAGAGGGATAGGAGATTTTTCTCTATGCACATAGAATGTGCTTTGGTTTTGTTAAAGCTGCATGAAGTAACTTGTGGCCGTAAGGGGGCAGAAAAATTCTAAAACACACTGATAGCTACACATATACAAAAGATCACCGGCTAATGAATGGTATGGCTAACCTAATTTTGCACATTCCGAGACAGAGAAACATTACCAGTCGTTGTTTCTGGCCACGTGACAAAGGTAGCTCATTTAGCTCTGGTTGGGCTCCACCAAGGGATGGGTCTTTAATTCACCAGCTACTCAATAAATATGTCATCTGCCATTTGGTGCTGGGTAGGTACAGTACAAAGGGTTCATCTGAGCTGCCAATATGGGTAAATCCAATAAATTTGCAAGCCATAAAACAATGAGCAACAAATAAAAGAGGTAAGAGAGCTCATGAGAGCAGGTTTCTTTTGAAGCATGCAGCCTGATTCTAACATGCAAAATGCTTAAGAGTTATCTAGAGCTGCAACTATGCAAATGTTTTCATTATCAATAAAGCTGCTAGTTATTTTCTTCATTAAAGGTGGGATCAGTTATTCTAGAAAAGGATAGTTGATTGTTGATTAAAGCACAGAGCCACTTTGTTTACAATTTACCATCACCCAAAGCATCTGTATTTGATGACTAACTAACTATCTTTTCTTTAAGTTATAAATCAATTCTTCAATAAAATGTTAGAAAGAATTCCCATCCAAAGTTCCGAAAGCCTGAGGTGATGCCGTGAAATTCCTTCCTCCTCAAGAAGACGACAAAGAAAAGCAACAAATCCCCACAACTGGAAATATAGAAAGGGTTTAACAACGATTAATTGAGTATCAAAATAGTTGTTTCAGCTGTGGGGTTATTCTTTTGGTAGTGAAACATTTAGAGGAAAAGTGTGCAGCAGAGAATGAAGAATAAAGTGAAGGATAATAACAGCAACCACTTTACAACACTTTTCTTAGCATGAACTAGCTAGCAGGTGTTTATTTATTGGCTCACTGGCCCAAATCTAAATGTATATGATAAGTGAACTGAGACACTGTACTACAAGTAATTAACAGAAATTAACTAGCCTGTGCTGTGAAACAATTTCAACTGTTGGATGATAGCCATGCATTCATACTAACCGAGGAATATGTAAAGGGTTTATAATACATCTCTGCTGCTGTGGACAGTAATAGTCCATTAGCTGGGCGCCATGGGATTTTCATGCCTTGGACCACTGTAGACTCTGGACTCACCTCTGTTTAATATCTTGGCTTTGTTTGTTTATTTGTGTCTTGTATATGTGTGTGTGGGGAGGGTGGGTCAGCTTATAAGTAATTAACAAGCAGTTCGCTCCACCTAGGGAAGCAGGGAAGTTACTCATGCGGTGTATCCTGACAAGG